CCGGAGGGAGGTGATGAGTGGCTCCCTGACATCACCGTCCTGCTTGCATGATGTCGCTGAAGCCGTGCACGCAGTAGGCAGCTTCTGGTGTTGTGCTGTGGATCCGGTCGTTGCTTGGTTTGTTTGTTTTGCTGCTTAAAGCACTATGTGCGTGGAGAGAGGTGTAAACTTGAAAACCAAGGGCAAGTGCTGCCCAGAGGAGGTCTGGCAAGCCTACCCCCTCCCTGTGCTGCTGTGCCTGAGAACAGCCTGAAATCAGGGAGCAGGAGAGGAGCACATCACCTTTCAAAGGCATTCTATATGCAGTATGAGACTCTTCCTCTTGTTATTTTTCTTTTAAAGTTAGAAAGAACATGGAATTTTTTTGTTGTAATCTCTTATGTTCGACATTTTGAAGGCCAAAGAGGTGGCATGGTCATCCTGTCTCCTGAGATAAGTAGGATTCGGTTTTGGTGGCTGCTGTTCATCCTGGTTGTTCATCCCTGGATCAGATGCCTTTCCAAAACCTGGTCCCACTGGTGTCAATGGCTTTGCTCCAGACGTACACTGATCACTGGAATTCGTGATTTGATAGGCAGAAATGTCACAGTGGTTAGTGTAGCTCAGCTGCAGGTGAAACGTGTTGCAGCTTGTGAGAAGATCAGCTAAAGCTGATTACAACCTGACTGATTTGTCCTAGCTCTGAAATCTGTAGAAAATCCATAGTCTGTTTTTGCATGAGGAAAACCTCCCCCCTCCTCCTCTTTCCCCTGTGTCTGATGGGCATAGTTCCCTCTTCTGGAGAGTTGCATTTGTGATCATTAAGATGTAATGTTAACCAAAGCTTTGTCTCTGTCTGTCCTTAAAATAGGATTCTACCTGCTAACAAAACTATTCTGGGATATTCGAGTAACTGAGGCAAAGTTGCCTGGAGACAAATCTTTGTGTGCTCAGTATTATTGGATGCATCGGTATATTCTGTTGTGGTGCCTGTGTGCCCCTCGAAGGGAAATGCCTGCACAGTGTTTCAAGCAGAATCATCCTGACTGGTGTCATCTGGCATCTTGTTTCCTGGGCACTGCCAGATGTCCTGGAGAGGGATCCTCAGGAGAACTCTAAAGCCAGCCTGCCCAAAAGGGAGCACAGCTTCCCAGGTGCCCTAATGCCCAGATATAAAGGGAAGTGTAGCAAGGACTCCTCTGCTGGAGTAAAGCTAAAGAACTGCCACTTGCACATGTTTTTCTGGATTTCAGAAGGAAGGTGTCCTGGAGGCCTTGGCACAGCCTGGCTAGTGGCTGGGTGGTGTGTCTGAACCCCTGCTGTCCAGGCACTCCCCTGGAAAGGGGCTGTGAGCTTTCGTTTATGGCTCAGGGAACTGCAGGTGAGGCTCTGAACTGCAGTTTTTTCGGAAGGACCCAGTGATGAGATTTCTGTCCTCCTCTCTGCTCTGATGGATGGCTCGCTCAGCCCTGAGAAGGTGTCTCAGACAAACGACGTGCTCGGAGACGTTCTTCCAGTTTGCCGCAGCTCCGGGTTTAAAGCTGACAGTGTTGCGGTTGCACTTTGATAAAAATACATCGTTAAAATGTGCGCTCCGTGTACGGTACACGCTGTACGCAGGGTGCAGCTAATGCTTGACAAGGCACTGCGGCATTAATAAAACAGCGAGGAAGCACGCCGTGCGAGCAGTTGTGTTTGCCTACTGATGGGGGACCTCTTCCTGCTCCCCCTGGCTGCCGTGCTTTGTGTTGTGAGCCCTGTGGCCCCCTGCTGCTGGGAGAGGCAGTCCAGCCTTTGGGTGACTAAGCTTTAATTCGGGGTGTTTTTCCCCAAGGCCGGTGGGTTCTGCCGTTTCTCCATCTCCAGCTAGCTGTGGTGTGGTGCCGAAATCAGTGCCAGCCCTCGAATTTGTCCTGCTGGAACACGGGATGGTTGTGTCCTGCCTACTCTTCTCTGCTTGTCAGTTCAGGCAGGAGTTAGATGTCCTGTAATAGTCTCTTGCACGTTTCCTTCTCTCACTGGACAGATCCAATGTGGAAGCATGGAAGGGTCTGTTGCAGAGCATGTAGGTGCTCCCAGGGGCTGAGAGCACCTTTTGTCTGCGGGAGACCTTGTGAATAAAAATGGCAACAGATTTAAAAAAAAAAAAAAAAAATTCTGAGCCCAAGAAATGAGTGTTTATCTCAAGTTCCTTGCCTTTGGAAGGGACTGTATATAAAGAAATCAAAGTGGTCTTAGTCACCCAAAGCTTCGTGATTCTGCTGCTTGCCGTAGGAGAACCCGTGCTGCTTCTGACCCCTGCGCCCTCCCAGGGAGGGGGTAATGAATGTTGTAATTGTTTGACTTCCTGCCTAGAAGGAGTCTCTCAAATCAAGACATGCTGAAGAAGGGCGAGAGTCTTCCTTGGATTCTGACGCTGCGTGCCCTCCGACTCCAGTTCCAGCCCTTCCCGGAGATGCTGACAGCTGCCTGTCTGGCTCGAACGAGGAGGAGCCCGATGGGGAGCTGGCTGAGAACGGACTGCTGGGCAAGAAAGATGCCGAGGTGGAAGGTGACATCTCTGCAGCTGAAGAGCTGCCAGAGTCTCTGGGGGAAAGGAGCGCAGCGGGGACGGACGTGCCCAGCGATCCCGGGCAACCTCGAGCTGCGTCTCCGGCTGGCGGCGCTGCCGAGGCGGGTCAGCT